ATTGTTAATGCTGCTGCTACTTCTCCTGCTGCTGTTGCAGCTGCTGCTTCTGCTGCAGTTATGGATTCTGACGTTGCTGCTGCTGCTGCTGCTGCTGCTGCTGTTTCCACTGTTGCCACCACCAACGTCCGTACCGTGGTTGGCATGAACAGTGACCCAGGACGAACCTTCCTCGAAGCTTCCGTGTTCCCCCAACTCCCGCCAGTCACACGGAGCCTTGCTGGGATTGCGAAGACGGGCGGAGGAGGAGGAAGAGGAGGAGAGGAGGAGGAAGAGCGGGCAGAGGAGACTGCGGAGGTGGAAGAGGACGAGGAAGAGTAAGAAGAGGAGGATGGTGAAGAGGAGGATGTAGCACGGTGGGCGGTCGACAGGAGGCTGGCGGGAGAAGAATGAGGAGCAGCAGCAGCAGATGTACCAGCAGTTGCAGCTGTAGCAGCTGTAGCACCAGAAGCAGCTGTAGCAGCCAGGGCGAGTTCTGCAGCTTGCAGCAGGTGGTGAGTGCCGGCTGCCACAGTCACTCCCACGCCCAGCAGCTCGTGAGAGAGCGACTGGAGGAAGTGAATAGCACCTGGTAGAGGGGTCAGGGTCGGAAAGGAGAGTCAGAGGGACTGCAAGGGCGAGTTCTGCTGCTTGCAGCAGGTGGTGAATGCCGGCTGCCACTATCAGTCCCACGCCCAGCAGCTCGTGAGAGAGCGACTGGAGGAAGTGGATGTCGCCTGGTAGAGGGGTTAAAGGGTAAGAGGGTGAGAGGAACAGCCAGGGGAGTTTGTGTTGCTTGCAGCAGGTGGTGAGTGCCGGCTGCCACTGTCACTCCCACGCCCAGCAGCTTGTGAGAGAGAGATTGGAGGACGCACCTGGAGAGCAAGGGGCAGATAAGGGAGGGGGGGGGGGGGGAGAAACATCAAGAGGGCGAGTGCTGGCCGCCACTGTCACTCCCACCATGCCTAGCAGCTCGCGAGAGAGCGACTGGAGGAAGTGGATTGCTCCTGCAAAGTAGTAAAACAAAAAGGGGGAGGAGGGGAGTGGTGAGGAAGAGTGCCGAGGTGAGAAAGAATTGAGGAGGTGGATGGCTCCTGCACTGCACCAACGTAAAACAAGAAAGTGCCAGCCATTCCTTACCGTTCCACACCCCATACCTTTCTTCAAGCCTCGTTGAGTCTGTACTCCCGAACTGGGAGCACCACTAGCTGCAGGGAAGCAGCACCCAAGGCCCACAGGGGACTGGCCTCACTGAGCGCACAGGGCACTGACAGACCCTGTTACTTGGAGCCCTCACGACTCACTCACGACCCACCTTTCTTCAATCCTCTCATGAGCTTCCTGTTCTGTCGATACTCCTGCACCGGCAGCAGCACCAGCTGCAGGGAAGCAGCGCCCAGGGCCCACAGGGGACTGACAGGCCCGGCTGCCTTCACCACGCGGTGCAGCTGGTTGCGACAGATGTCCTCCAGCCATTGGCCGATGAGGGCTCCCCCCAGCCCGTCCCATCCCTGCACTCCCACCACTCGCGCCTTGGTAAAGTCGATTTCAACGCCCTGTATGTGGTATTGAAAGGAGCAAACGAGAAGACGAGAGAACAAAGAAGTTATTGGCCAATGAGCAACCCCCCCTGCCCGTCCCACCCCTGCACACCTGCCACTCTCGGCTTGGGAGGTAAATTTCCACACCCTAAACCCTAAAGCCGTGTAGCTGAGAGGCGTCCCACGGATCCAGGGGGTGAAACTGAGCGAATGGATCGGGACAAGCATAGGCGAGAATGGAGCACGCTCTCATCGACGCAGCGTGCGCTGCAGCCCGCAAGAGACAGGCCTCCCATCAAACCAAGAGAGCCGAGAGGTCCAGCTGGCAGCTGGCGGGGGACGTACAGAGAAGCAGACACAAACACACACGCGGGCACATGGAAGCAAAGCACACACAAGCGTGCTCCGTACCTTCCAGGAAATGAGGTTGAGCAGGTGAGCATAGTTGCCAGCAGAGAGAGCCGAGAGGTCCAGCCGCCGAGGCACATAGTCGATGAGGATTGAAAAGGCTCGAATTTCACAGACCTGGAGTAGAGGAGGGAGGGGGAGGAGAGCGGAAAAGAGGAAGGGGAGATTTTTTAGTCGACTCAAGAGGCTCGGATCTCATAGACCTGGGGAGCGGAGGGAGGGGGAAGGTGGGGGGGGGAGGGGAAGGAGATGAGTAATGAGAAGACTCCAAGAGAGCCGATAGGTCCGGCAGGCGAGGGACGTAGATAATAAGGATTGAAAAGGCCCGAATTTCACAGACCTGGAGTAGAGGAGGGAAGGGAGGGATGAGAGGGAAGCGGAGTCAACGAGAAGACGCCAAGAGAACAGATAAGACACAGCAGGGCGAGAGTGTGCAGGGCAAGAGTGTGACCTGGAAGAATGGCAGCAAGGCGTCGCGCACCAGCTCAGCATCAGCCACCGCTGCTGCCACTCCTGCTCCTGCTGTTTCACGAGCACTGACAGCAGAACCAGTGGCAGCAGCACCGACCGGAGCAGCAGTGGGTCGAGCGGGGATGGAGTCAGCAGCAGGAGCGGAGGGAGGTGAAGAAGCTGAAGAGGCGAAGAAGCGGGAGAGGAACTCGATGTGGTTCTGATCGATTCGGAGGCGGATGGGCAGCAGGGCGAGCGACAGCCTGCAGAGAGAAAAGCAAAGAGGAGGAAAGGTTGAAGAGCGGAAGGGGCGATGAAGGAGGAGAAGAAATCGATGTGGCTTTTGAGTTGACGTAAAAAGTAGACTTGATGTGGTTCTGGTCTATGCAGACGCAGATCGGCAGCAGAGCGATCGGAGAGCCAACACGCGAGAGAAAAGAACACACACACACAAAACACAAAACAAAACAAAACGAAAGCAAGAACAAGAACAAAAACAGAACAGAACAGAACAGAACAAAAACAAACAAATAACAAAGAGCTGGAAGGAAAGGTAAAGGGCGAGAGGGTGGCAGAGGGCGGACACAAATCAGCAGAATAGCTTTTGAGAGCCTGCGATGTGCACTGCATATTCTCTCAAACCATTCACACCCAATTCAACTCGCTTATTGATCAAGCCCACCTGAATTCGTCAATCTCAACCGTTGCATTCGGTCTGACAGCATCCAGCAACAATCGCAGAGCCTTGGATCGAACATCCGCCGCCTCCCGGCCATACGCCCCACCCACTCTTTCCCATGTCCTGCTCCCCTGCTGCTGCAACCCCCTGTCCCACACTCCTATCTCCCTTACAGTCACCGCCAGGCGGGAGCTGTAGACACTCTTAGTACTGTCACAGTGGGTAGAGTCACGGGAGGGGGAACCATCACTGCTGGCTGTTGCTGCTGCTGCCTTGACAGCTTGCGGGTTGCCTGGTTGACACCTGCCTGAGTGGAAGCTATCCATTTGGACGTCCACTCCTCTCAGAATAACCTCCACACACGGACCTTCCATTCGAAGTTTCGCTGCTGACTCATCAGCAGCAACCGATGCTGACTCAGCAGCAGCAGCAAAAGAAGGAGAAGCCGCAGCCGAGGCACCATCGGCCGCACAAAGACCAGCACAAAAACCACTGCTACCAGGAGACAAAAAATGCCGGCCGGAGCTCAGCCTGCAGACGAGCGAGCAGTTTCTGAGAAGAAGCCGGAAGGCAGAGGGCGGGTAGCAGGCCGGCAAGGAGGAGGGCTTATGCGAGGGGCGAGAGGTGAAGGGAGAAGAAGGGGAGTTAGAAGCACCGCGGTGGAACGAGGAACCTTGGTCATGAGGTAATTCAGTTTTGTTGGCGTTGCTGCCATTGCCACCGAGGCTGGTACAGTGCTTGCGATACTGGAGGGTGCTACTAGGGGGAGAGAGGAATGAGTGAGAGGAGGGAGTGTTAGAGGAGGAGGGAGTGAGAGATGTATTTTGAGTCGACTCAAAATACGATGGGGATGCAACCAGAGGAACGAGAGGGACGTGGTCTGCAACCAAATGCACTGACGTGTCATCGAACCACTTGGCGTGATGCGATTGGTGGGTGCTGCCCTTGGTGCTGAATTCCGGCTCAGTAGTACTGCTCTCGGGACTTGCTCGGTGCCCTTGGTTGTGACCGTAACGAGGTTGCGGGTGCGACTGTGATTGGCCGATGTCGTTACTTTGACTAATAGCATGCCTGTCACTGTGACTATAGGAGTGGGTATTATGAGAGCTTGAAACCTGAATGTGACTATGTCGAACATGTTCTGTGTGATTCCCCGGAATCCCCTCCACGTCCGTCCATCCACCGCCATCGTCACAATCACCCTCTCCTCCCTCTACTATCACTTCCACCCACCCCCCTGCTTCCTCTTCCAGAAGCCTCCACCCAGCACCATCCCACCCATTGCTGTCACGCGAATCAGCACCACCAGTCCACCCAACATTGCCAAGAGCATCTCCCACCTCCAAAGCAGCACCAGCGGCAGAAGCAGCAGTAGCAGAAGCAGCAGTAGAAGAAGCAGCAGAAGGAGCAGCAGCAGCAGCAGCAGCAGGAGCAGTGTTCCCCTCACCATGTCGGCTGCCTCTATTGCCCGTCCCAAGCTGTTGCCCGTTGGTACTTGTGCAGCTGCTGCTGCTGCTGAGGCTGCCACTACCACGGCCGATGTCCCTGCCACTGCCACTGCCACTGCCCCTGCCCCTGCCGCTGCCACTGCCGCTGCCGCTGCCGCTGCCTCTGCCCACAGCAAGGGTACCAGAGCCGGTCTCCAGAGGCGTAGCAGTGCAGCCAGCCTTGGGTTCAGGAACCTTCACTTGAGCCCCACTGCTCTGAGCAGCAGGTTCTTCCAAGCTAGCAGCAGGACTGGCCGTGCTTCCACAAGGCTGTGTGTCATACACCCTACTTGCGACCCCCCCGGGCGGGACAGCAGGGGCATGGGGGGGAACAACCAGCTGCAGCTGCTCCCCTCTCTGCCCACCCTGCCCTGCCCTCTGCCCCCCCTCCCCTGCTTTCACCCCACTTTCCCCATACACCCTACTCGTGACCCCCCCCGGCGGGACAGTGGGGGCATCAGGGGGGAACACCAGCTGCAACTGCTGGCCCAGCCGCCCCAGCACGTGCATGCTGTCCTGACACGTGTCCACCTGCGATTGGGCGTTGCAGCAGATGACCTCCAGGCCCGGCGGTGCTGTGGATCGAGCTGAGGAAGAAGCAGAGCCCCTCCCTGCGACAGCTGTAGCAGCTGCAGCAAGACCCGGGGCTGTAGCAGCAGCAGCAGCAGCAGCAATTGTTGCAACGAGCTCGACTTGCACAGTTGTGGCTGTGGCGACCTGGGGGAAAACGGGTGTGTGACAAAAAGGGGAGTGAGACAAACACGAAAAAGGTGGAGAAAAACATATGACAATAAGCAGAGGCGTGGCAACAAGCTCCAGCCTCCACTGGCAGATGTGGCGATCAGGGCGAAAGGTACTGGAGATAAATGAGGTGTGAGTGAGTGAGATGGGCAGGTGAGAAACGATACGCAGATTCGACTAAAACACGATACACAACAAGGCAGCAAACAAACAGGCATGCCACTAAAAGGAGCAAAACGAGAAGTGAGGAAAGAGGTAAATAACTCAGGCGCAGAACAGGGGAGGAAGGCAAGGGGGGGGCGGGGGAGAGGGAGGAAGCATGGGGAGTAAGAAGGTGCTCACCTGAGCGAAGAGGTTGCTGCGATAGGCCTGTTGCCAGAGTGCCTTGTGCACGTGGTGCTGTTTGAGACTCCGACCATCCAGAGGTGAGCTCCCAGCAGATCCTACCCCAGGGAACGGCAGGCAGCAGCGGCCAACAGGCACCACGCTCACACCCAGATCTCTCAAGCACAGGCCAGCCTGGAAGAGAGGACGGGTGCGCGGTGGAGGGCAAGGGGCGAAGGCTGCTGCAGGTGCGTTGGGCGACGGAGGGTGATCGAGAGGCTGAGGCGGAGGGCAAGCGGCGGAGGCTGCTCGAGGGGGGTTTGCTCGACGAGGGGTGGGCGACAATTGAGGTGATTGTGGTGATCGTGGTGATTCCGCTGATTGTGATGGCGATTTGAGAGTGGGCCCAGGTTTCTCCATGGGAAGTGCTGCTGCTGCTGCTGCTGCTGCTGCTGCTGGTGCTGCTGCTGGTGCTGCTGCTGGTGCTGGTGCTGATGCTGCTGCTGTGGGATTAGCTTCGGCAACTAGGTGTACGGCTGCGATTCCAACAAACAAGCACGCAGCAGCAGCAGCAGGACGCGGAGTTACTTGCTTCTCTGGCAGGGCCCAAGCATCGCTCCTAGGTTCGGGCCAAGCCTCACCCCTAGGCTCGTACCAAAAGCCAGTATCCACCAGGTCTACCACCACTCGCATCTCTGCTGGCCGAATCTGTACCACCGCTGCTGCTGCTGCTGCTTCAGGTGCTGCTGTTGCTGCTGCATCAGGTGCGTCCTCCTGTGTATGTACACGGAAAGTTCTGCTGCTAGCTGTCTGGCTGTCAGCTGCCGGCCTGTCGGCTGCCTGCTGGTGAGAGCCCCGCGGGGAATACAGTGAACGGTAGCTGCGAGGCCGCTCCCGGCCTTCTGTCTGTGTACGCACTGTTGACTGCTGGGACGCATGCTGCTGCTGCCGCCGGTGCCGCTGGTGGCGCCGGTGCTGCTTCTGCTGCTGCTGTGTATGGTTGCTCGGATTCTGAGGTGCCTGAGAACGCACTCTGTAACAACCCTCCCCAAGACCACCAGCAGCTGTGGTTCCTTGTGGCGGGAGCAGGGAGGAGAGAGGTAGCAGGAAGTCCCACCTGCCTCCTGGCGCCTCTGCTGTCAGCCCCCTCACACTAGCATACACCAACCCCTCACTCTCTCCCAAACCCTCACTCCCTTTTCCCCCCTCTCTCTCCATTCCCCTTGCATTCTCCACCCCTATCAGAATCCCAGCCTCTCCTGAAGCTTCTTGGCACCTTCCCGGCCACTGCACCAGCAGTAGGCACACCCCCGTCTCGCCCCTCTCTAGAGGGTTCCCTCCGGGAGACCCGCTGCCTCGCCCAATGGCGTCCTGCCACGTTGACAGCACCGGCCACTCCTGCGGTCGCCTGATTCTAGCGCGGTCCGTGCTATCGGGAAGATCATTCACAACGGAATGTGGAGGAGCATGGGACAAGGGACCCTGTACGAGGTTGATTTCTCCACTGCTCTGCTGCGCCTCCCCATACCCCCACCAATCGCGGTGCGCCGCCCAAACCGTCGCTTCCCCGTGCCGCAGCATCAGGAACATTGCTCCAGGGTTACCAGCCAAGCTGCTGACGTGGCAGACTGTGATTCGCTGGAGGCACAGGCGGAGGGAGTCCCAGCCTTGGCCCCAAGCAGGCTTGGAGTAGGGGGAGAGGGGAGGGGTGGCACCAGGAGAAGCAGCAGGAGCAGCAGGAAGAGTGGCAGTGCGAGGAGAAGAAGAAAATGAAGAGGAAGAATGGAGAGTATGTACATCTCTGCATTGCAGCTGCTGCTGGAGCATGTCATTCGCAGCCACAGCCATCGCATCTCTTGCGGATCGAGGCCGAAACAGGAGCTCGGCTTGGAAGAGACCTACTTGCAAGTCCACGAACATGGGTGCCTGCGCTCTTGACTCCCCCCCCCTTGTCGCCTCTTGCCCAGGATCCAGAAAGCTAGCGTTCTTTGACTGGGCCAACGCGTTCTCACATCCAGGATCACTGCCTGGATCTGTTGGAATGCTCCGAGAGGGGGCTCCTCCTAGTGCCATATTAACACTGTCCTCCACTTCACTTGAGCGCCCTTTCAAAGCGCTCCCAATCCTCGTCAGCATGTCGTGGATCAGCTCCACGTCAGCAGGGTCTATCGCCACAGCCACATCACCCACCCTGACCGCCACATCAGCACCTGCAGTCTCTCTCACCTCTCCCACTACCGCTCTCTCGTGCTCCTCTTCCTCCTCCCTCTCTCTATCACTCACAGCAGCTGCAGTCACAAACTCTCCGTTGCCGCCCACTGTCATACCCCGCCCATTGCCGCCCGGTCCTGCTTGTCTTCTTCCCACATGCTGCCAAAGCTTGTGAGCTGCTTTGAGCCTGGCTGCCCCATAAAGGTTGTTGCTTCTCTGGTTGACGATCAGGGTGACTGCTGCACCAGGATCGTGCTCCTGCTGCTGCTGCTGCTGCTGCTGCCCGTGATTATGGTGGTGGTGGTGGTGCTGCTGGTGGTGGTGCTTATGGTGGTTATGGGGGCGGCATTGCTGCTGCTGCTGCTGCTGCTGCTGCTCGTGCTTGTGGTTGTGGTGGCGATGCTGTTGCGGTTCTGGGAGTAGCTGGCCCAACGCCTCTGAGACCCTCCTGTTGTGGCCAGTTACCCTGTCCTCTGCACTGCCACTCGTGCTCCTTCCAAATTGCTGGTAAGAAGCAGACGCAAAGGCAGAGGGAGAGGCAGAGCCAGGGCCAGGGACAGAGCCAGGGCCAGAGCCAGAGGCAGATACGGAAAGCAAACAGTGAAGCTGAACCACGCTCTGTCTTTCTAAACAATCTCTTCCCATACACTCCCTTTCCCCCCTCCAGCCGCCTCTGCCTTTACTCCTGCTGCTAATCCCACTGCCTGAGTAATCTTGCAGTGGAATGACATGCAGAGAGTGCACTGACACATGCTGCAGGGAACAGGTCACCAGAGAGAACGCACTCGAAGCATATGGTTCAGCTTCTGCTGCTTCTACTTCTGCTGCTGCTGCTGCTGCTGCTGCTGTTGCTGTTGCTGCTGCTGCTGATGATGATGATGACGCTGCTGGTAGTGGTGGTGGTGAGGACGATAGCTTGAAGCAATGGAAGTCAGCAACAAGCGAGTGGCCTCTGCCAAACACAACTGACTGCTGCACCGCTGCTGGCAGCAGCGGCCCCAGTTGTGGCCCACTTGCATGCTGCATCCCTGCCTGCAGCTGAGACGGCTGCTGCATCCCCGGCTGTAGCTGGGACGGCTGTAGCAGGGCGGCAGCGTTGACTACGAGGCGAAGGCAGCTGGCATGCACACTGACAGAGACACCGCCGAGTTGGTCTGGAGAAGGAGCACTGGCATCCCCTGGAACAGAGAGTGCTTCTCTTGACTGCTGCTGTTCCCGCTGCTGCTGCTGCCAGTACTTAGAATGCTGCTTTCCCTCCTCGGCTCCACCAGGCCCCTTCTCACCTAACTCACTGACAGACGGACGGGCTAGCTCTGTCGCCATGGTGGAGATGAAGGAGAGGGAGTGTGGCTCCACCCAGACCACGCATGGCTGCACGCTCACATCTACGTGCATGCACGAGTGCTTGCTTGCACGTGCCTGTGCTTGCTCATATCCATGTCCAAGTAGGGCATTCTCGCGCCCTTGGGAGGATACCACCCGAACAGCTGGCAGCATGCTGCTGCTGCTTCTGCTTCTGCTGCTGCTGTGGTTGTTGCCTCTACTGCTGGTCCGACTGCCGGTGCTGCCGCTGGCTATGGCTGCTGCTGCAGCCTCGCCCTTCCTCCCACCTGCCTTGGCTTCTGCTGCTACAGCTGCTGTTGCTGCTGGTGCATGCTCACTGGTTGAAGAAGACACCTGTAAGAGCCTAACAGGGCTGCAGCGAGGACACAGATAGAGGCGTGCGCAGGGACTGACAGCAGGGGCTGACAACTTACCCTTTTCGTGCGTAGTGTGCGCACTATGCGCAGCATACCAAGTGCAGGAAGAGGGGATGCTGGGGGAGGAAATGGAGGAGGGAAGGGAGGGAGAGGGAGGTGGATGAAGAGGTAGGACCTTAGCCACCTGCGCCCATTCAGTGTGGTTCCTGTACAGGTGATGCTCGCCTGCGCCCACCTCTGCCCATTCCGCATTATCCCTGTAGCCACTGCGGCCTGAGCAGCAATGCTTCACAGTGGTTGCAGCGGTGGCAGCTGGAGCACTGAGCATAGCAGCTGCTGCTGCTGCCGGTGCTGCTACTGGCGAAGAGGAGAAGGAGGAGGGGCACGAGGGATGGAAGGAGAGGGTGATGCTGCTGATGGAGAGCTCATTGTGGTGCTGAGATTCCTCAGCGTACACCTGGAGGGATAACGAGGAGGGAGGGATAGCGTGGGGCAGTCGAATTAGAGGGGTCTTCTTTGACTTAGAATGGAAAGATCAACGTGGAAAGCTTTTCTTCTCACCTCCTGTGGATGGAACCCCCTCCAACGCAACGGGCATACACACCATCTCCAACACTTAGAGCAGAACATGCCAGTGAATGAAAAAACCCCCCATCACTTGTTGTGAGGCATGTAGCAGCCCCTCCAACGTAAGTACCAGAGCTCCACATCCTACACCAGCACAGAGCCTCTTCAACAGAGGTCCTACCAGTGCTCCAGCACACAGAGCCCCTTCAACATAAGAGTATCAAGGCGTTTAACGCAACACAGTTCCGTGAAATCGACAGTCCCTCTCACCTGCTGTGGCGCAAGGAGCCCGGCCAACACAAGGACCAGGCCCGTGCTCCAGCTCCCACACCCGCACAGGCTGCAGAGGCGGCACAAGCAGAGCTTGCAGCCAAACCAGCATAAAAGACTCACGCACGAAAGGGCTCGCCTCAACACAAGCTCGTGGACTCAGCAGCCTCTCTCACTCACCTCTTGTGAAGCATGGACCCCGTCCAACGCAAGGACCAGAGCTCCGTCTTTCACACCAGCACAGGATGCAGACCAGGCACTGGCGGTTTCACAGTCTCTGCTTTCTTGGTGTGAGCGCGCGAGAGAGAGGGCGACGCTGGGGATGCCGAGAGAAAGAGATAGAACTGGACGGGAGGGCTCTGGTAGGGATGGCGGGAGAGGGGGGGGGAGGGGAGAGGAGGGCGAGGAAGAGGGAAGGCACAGGAGAATATTGAAGGGCATGACACAGGAGAAGAGGGAAGGCTAGGGAGCGGTGGAAAGTGTCCTGTGAGAAGGGGCAACGGAATGAGAACGCAGGAAAAGAAAAGTCAGCATGTGCTGCAGAGAGTGATGACCAGAGGAACGGCTGAGTGATGGATGGATGGTCCGTGGATTGGAAACAGCTCACCTGCGAGGGCCAGCGAGGCAGAGACAGCAGAGGACGCAGCTGCAGAGGGGGGGGACGCGAGCTGCCTGCATCACTCATGTGCGCTCACCAGAACGCACTTGTGACTCTTATGGAAAAAAAGAAAGAGAAAAAACGCCCGGAATGTCACCTGCAAGCGCCAGAGAGGCAGAGACAGCAGAGGATGCAGCCGCAGCGGGCGGCATGCCAGCTGCCAGTGCTGACGTGGCAGAGACTGCTGAGACTGCTGCATGCGCCCAGGACCAGAGCGAGTGAGGTGCGGGCGAGGAGGAGGAGGAGGGGGAGGAAGGGGAGGAGGAGAAGGAAGAGGAGGGTATTCCCCCAGCACCACCCCAACCAGAAGATGACGACGGTGCGAAGAACGAATCAAAAAGACCGGGGGGGGCGGCGTAATGAGCCGCACGAGAGTGAGGAGGGAGGGGTGAATGAGGAGGAGTGGTGTTGTGGGAGAGAGAGGCGGTGGGTGCGGGTGTAGGGTCGGAGGGAGTGGTGGACGGATGGAGTGAGGCGGAGAGGGAGGAGGAGAGGAAGATAGCCGTGTCAAGGCAGTCGAAGAACTCACTCATGCTGGAAGGAGGGGAGGGGGAAAGGGAATGGGGGAAGGGGAGAGAGAAGGGGAAGGGGGAAAGGGGAGGGGGAGGGGGAGGGGGGAATTGGGTTGGGGTGAGGGGAAATGCGGGTGAGTTGAGGGGGGATGGAGATAAGGTGCAGGGCGAGGGAAGTGGCACCAACGTTTTCCTCTCCTCCTCCCTCCACTCGTCTACCACCCCCTTTCTCCCGCCTTCATTCTGCTCCCAGCATCAGTGAGTTTGTTTGACTGTTGCAACACCCCCATGTTCCGTGTGTTGTGATGCCTCGAAACACCCCTTCCACGGCCTGGCCCCCTTCACGCGCCTTCTCGCCTCCCTCACCGCACCTCCACCTTTTCCGCACCTGGCTTCCGAGCCAGATTTTTTAGGCGCCTCAAAAGTCGCACCTGGCTTCCATGCCAGCTGTCATGAATTCCCCCACATCCCTTCCGAAGCCTCTCCTCCTTAGCTCTCCTCCTCTTCTCCTCCACTCGCCTTCCCTCCGCCAACCTCTGCTCCAACCAGCCACCTAGTTCATAAGAGCGCCTCTCTCCTACCTCACCCCCCTCCCCACTCACCTGGGTCCATATCAGCTGTCATGTGTGCCTCCTCCTTACACCACGGCCTCTCCTCCCTGGCTTTATCCACCAATCTCTGCTCCAACCAGCCCCCTATCTCATAATACCACCTCTCTCTGACCTCACCCCCAACCGCACTCACCTTGCCTCCATATCAGCTGTCATGCTTGCCTCCTCCTGCTTGCCTCTCCGCCTCTCCTCCTTCACCTGTCTTCTCTGCGCCAATCTCTGCTCCAGCCAGTCCTCTACAAAATTCTCTACCAATGACGGCGCTGCTGGTAACGCTGCTGGTGGTGCCCATATTGCTGTCGTTCGTGCTGCCACCGCCGCCGCCGCCGCCGCTGCTGCTGCTGATGCTGCTGCCTCTTCCCTCTCATCCCCATCGTCCCTCACCCTCCTAATCTCTCCTCTGTCTGCACGGCACCCCCCAACATCCTCGCGTTCCCCTGCCACCCCCTCCTCCCCTCCCTCCTCCACTCCTTCCTCCCCTCTCAACCTCTCCAGCGCCCCAAGCACCCCCTTCACTAGAGTCACATCCAGTTGAATCACAACAGGCGACAGCTCCACTGCAACATCCACCACAGGGCTCCGCACCTGGACCTCCCTTCTCCGCACCGTGTCACAGGGCTCCCTGCTCTGCCCCACCCCCTTTCTGCTCTGCACTGCCCCCCCCACTGGAACCCCCACTGGACCGCTCTTCTTACCCCCGTGCAACCCTAGCTTTACTCTCACCCGCCCACTGACTCCTCCCAGCGCTCCGCGCTCGCTCTCTGGAACGGTCCCTCTCAAACCATCTGTGCACGGAGAGTTGAGAGGGTTATGGGCCCACGCTGGGCTGTTCCTGCCACACCCCACACAACAACTCTTCTCCCGCCCACGTCCCGTCCCCTCTCCAATGGTCCCTGTCTCCCTCTCTCCCTGACTTTCCCTGTTGCCTTCTGCTGCGCCTGCTGATCCGCCAATCACAACCACCTCCGCCTGATGGCTGCACGTCTGAAGCTTCAGGTGCAGACACGTGGCAGGTGATGAGCCAGCTGTGGCTGCACGCTGTGACATGTCTGCACGTGAGTACTGAGATTGTGCCAGCTCACCATGAGCGTCTTGAAATGAATCCGACTCCCTAAATCCTCTGGAAGCTGACTGAAACATGAGTGAACTATCCTCGTTACTAGCAGACCCCATAGCAGACTGGAACATGGAGGAGCCTGCATCCTCGTTACTGCCTTCTTCAGTAGCATCCAGAAAAAAAGACTGCTGCCCGCCCAGTACACTTGCATACATGCTAGACGCTGCTTCATTATAAACATCACCATTCATCTCCCCATACTCCCCCTCTCCTCCGTACTCCTCCTCCTCCTCCTCCTCCTCCTTCTCCTCCCCTGCACCCCATCTCTCCCTCCCTCCATCCCCACACTCCCAGCACCCCACCAGAGACACACTCGCGCCACTAAACCTCACCTCCTTAGGCCCCCCTCCCAGCACCATATGCGCCACCCCTCCCTTCGCCCCTCCCTTCACCCCACCATCCGAACCTCCCACTCCTCCCACTCCTCCCACTCCTCCCACTCCTCCCACTCCTCCCACTCCTCCCACTCCTCCCACTCCTCCCACTCCTCCCACTCCTCCCACTCCTCCCACTCCTGCTGCATTCCTCTCTTCACCCCCGCCACCCCTCTTACCACCCCCGCCACTCCTCCTGTCCCCTCCCATCACACCTAACCCCCCATTTCTTCTCAACCTTCCCTCTTCTCCCTGCTCGTCCCTCCCCCCCTGCTCCTCAGCGCACCCATCTGAGGCTGCCGGACCATAGGCCAACTCTTCCAAACGAAAAACAACTCCCTTAGAATCCCTCCAGGCGTCTGCACCAAACCTATCCCCGTTACAGTCACCTCCATTACAAGCCCCTGCACTTGCTAGATTTAGCCTGGAAGTCCTGTCGTCAAGCACAATGTGCACCTGTACATGTGTTACGGACACCTGTAACCGCTGTAACACCTTTTCCACCAGCCCTGCTACCAGCTGTAGACCCCCTTGAAATCCCCGAAAACTAGCCCACCCCCCACCAACAAATCCCTCCAAACCCTCATCACTATCCTGCTCTTCCTCCTCCTCCCCCCCCTCCTCATACCCCTCCTCTTCCTTCTCCTCCTCTTCCTCCTCATCCTCCTCACACTCACCTTTCTTATCTAATCCTTTTCCATTCAACGTACGGCTTTTGCCCCCCACTCCCTCTCCCAAACTCCCCCCCTCCCTGCCTCTTCTCCCTCCTGATTGGCCAGGAGGCGACACCACCGCTACCAGGGTGATCCCATCCAGGTGCACTGTACACGGCTGGTCTAATGAGGTGAGTGTGACTATAGGGAGGGACGCAGATAGCTTGCCCACGCGCCCTGAAACGAAGCGGATGGTTGGGAGCGCCTGCTTGGGCTTATTCTGGGAAATTCCAGAGACGACTCTTGGTGCTGATGCTGCTGTTGTTCCTGAGGTTTCCTTCCCATTGTTTTCAATCTGCCCATAACAGTGGGAGTTGGGAATAGGTTGAGCATAGAGGGAAGAAAAAGACAACTCATTTTCGTACTCCACGCGGTTCTGACACATAACAACTACGACAAGTTGACAACGTGCTTGAGTGGTGGTATGATAATAACGCGTGCAATCGCCTCGATTTGAGGCGCCTCTAAACTAGACAAGTGCTTGAGTGGTGCTCATAACACGAGCAATCGCCAGGCACCACGCACCAGGGAGCTACAGTATTGAGGCGGATATGAGGTTGCTTGCTCTGATAGATGAATCAAGGTCACCCTGACGCACCAGGGAGTTGAGATATTCTGTGTTGAGGCGGAGATCCGAGAGGTGGATAGACGCCGACCCCAGATGAACCTCGATCTGCTCGTGGCTCAGATTGGTCTCCAGGAACCGACCCACTAGACGGCCCAGGATGAAGCGCGCCAAGCGGCGAGTGGCCCAACGAGGCAGCATGGCGGTTACTGAGAGCTCCGAGCAGATTTTGATTACAGAGGATTCTCAGACTCCGACTGGTCTCTAAGAACCGATCCAGTAGGCGACTCAGGATGGACCGAGCCACGCGGCGAGTGGGCCAACGAGACAAAATAGCGGTGAAGCTCCCAAGAATGTGAGCCTAGTTTTTGAGTCGACTCAAAAGCAGAATGTGAGGCTAGTCCCTTCAAAAAGGCGTGAAGCCAGTAGTGCCTACGGGATGTCAAACTGGGCTTCCTAGCAACCAAAAAGAATAGCGCGAAGTCTCTTTGAAAGAATAACGAGAAATTTGACGATTCTGTACAGGCAGCCTCACGGCAGTACGGTCTTCTTCCAGGGATTCTCAGGAGATTTCAGAAACGGGATGCAGCCTGCAGGTCGACGGTATAACATGGTGGCAACGCTGCCGCTGGGAATCGTGTGTCCTTTCAGCCGTGTTGTCTTGTTGATCCAAGATGGGCAGATATGTAAGGTCCTCTGTACTCCAAAGTACCGGACACTCACAGGCTGTTGTGCTTCACCTACTAGGAGTAGTACGCTCTCTGAATGCTTCAGCTGTCCCTAGAACCTATAGCGCGGACAGACACGAACCATGTATCTAATTCGCGTCGACTTCCCTCATTACTTATCAACGGTAAAACGCGGAGCCATGGAGTAAGGATAAGGCTGGCCAGGAGGAGCCGCAAGAGCCAAGGTGTACTAAGCAAAGAGCTTAGTCAAAACGTCTGCAAAAAAAACTAGCTTAGGTGCTGAGGTGCTACTGATGACTACGGCATCCCCAGCTTCATTGCTGTGTGAGTAGATGTCAAAGCATGCTGAACCGAGCTGACAGGATGTTCTCGAGGTGTGCTTGGTGGACTTTGCTGGCGAAGAGCTGAAACGAATCGCGAAGAGCCTCGCGGGAACCGAACGTACGAGATGTGCGTGGCGATGTGTCCTGGGCGCATCATCGACTAGCACGTCAGACTGTACCATCTGATCCTGAAACCAGATGCCGGAAGTTGTCATCGGTGTTTCTCGATGCGAAGGTTTCCAATTTCGTTAATACGTCCATTACCCGTCGCTGGCCAAGAATGCACCCAATCAACGACCAGCATTACAGTTCCGGTTTCACACCCGACCCAAACCGCACATCAACCTGTCCCCATAATCAAACCTGGTTAGGGTTAATCTCGTTATTGATTATGATCCGGAACGGTGTCGTGTAATAATTTACAGTGATTTGAGCCTCCTATATAGAGCAGAGTTCGAACGCTCCCTCCACTCCGAGCAATCACCACCTGTTCTGAGTAGCTTGTCTGAGAGCTAATTTAGTCCTTTCTCCATCAGACCTTTCTGTTGAGAATTCACTGTCGTCTGCCAGGTTCGCCTAAGCGGTTTGGTCGTCGTAGTGGTAAATTTATCATGAGTGTCGCAGCCTCCTAATCTGCATTCTCCGTCGCGAGTTCCAACCCCACTGCGGATTCGGGTGTGACCACTGCAAGACGGCTTTCGTTCCGTATGATAGTCCTTTCAGCGAATCTTCCGGACGTCACAACACTCTTTGAGACCTCATAGTGACTGCCTGGCATGGTGGATCCTTGACGCCTCTTGTCTGCTCCCTGATCGCTCCCTGATTGCTCCCGATACACGCTGATCCGCTAGCCGAAAGGCCAGCTGTCGGCATGGACTCGACGCTGCTGCTGCTGTTCACTTACGTGGCAGTGCTGGGTTTCGTCCTATTCGTCCTGCTGTTTGGGGAATCGACGTCGTTCGATGGCACCGTTATAAGCACCGCGCATTACTGGATCACGTCAGGGATCTTCGAGATTCCATTGTACGTTACCTTTTCTCCTCAATCAACTCCTTGTGCACATAAGATTCGATCAAATTCGTCCTTTCAAAACAACTCTATATCTATAACATTGTCATCGCTTTCCACCGGCATATCATCCGCTCTACCTTGTATCAACTCCATGTGTCATCCTTCATAGTTTGAACTGTGCCGACACCCCGTGTCATCTCTCCGTACAGTTACCTTCTCGGTTTCTTCTTCGGCGAGAGAGGAGAACGAGCCGGGGACGTCATCTTCCACTTCTGCTGCGAGCAGCGAAACCCTCTCTTCCAGGTCTGACCTGCCGGGTTGCTCAGAATCTGATTGAGAATCCGATCTTTTGCACGAATTTCGTCCTTCTCGTCTCCCTTCCTCACAACTTCCCTCACTTGTTCATCCACCTCAGATCTTCTACCTCGTCTTGGTGATTGGAGGCTACTACGCCTTCCACTATTACTGCATGGGTTTCATCCCTGGGCCGTACCTCTCCTCCATCCACAGGTCCTCCCTCTCCTCTCTTCTCTCCTCCATCCTTGCGTCCATATCGCTCTCCATTCGTATTGCATCCATTCGCACTGAATCATTTCTTGCTACTTTATCTTCCATTATCACTGCATAGGTTTCATTCCTGGACCATAGCTCTCCGCCATCCACGGTTGCACCCCTCTCTTCTCGTTTCTCCTGCATCCATGCACCTATATATATATATATATATATATATATATATATATAATCTCCTGCCCTTCTACTATGCTGGAAACACTTCCGCTATTGTGCTTATATTATCATTGCTTGGGTTTCATTCATCCTGGACCGTACCTATCCATGGGTATACTCCATTGTAGGTGCAATTCGTTTCTGACATTTAGAATGAAAGAAATGCTCAATTATATCGAAACATTGTTGATTTCTGGTCTTTCACACCTCTCCCTTTGCCTTCCCTCTCATTCCGTCCAGATACACTGCGTCTGCATGCATTTGTTATCACAGCTCTCACAACCTTCCTCATTCCGCTCCCCCCTTCATCCCCCCTCCCCCCCCCCCCCCGCTCCCTGCGTGAGGAGTCTATTTTTGAGGCGCCTCAAAAATACATTCCGCTCCCCCCTTCATCCCTTCCTCCCCCCCCGCTCCCCCCTTTCCCTCCAGATACACTGCGCCGGCAGCTCTTATCGCAGCGCTCACAACCTTTGTCATAGCGAGTGTGGCTGACCCCGGTACAGTCACATCCGCTACAGTCAAGCAGACGCAGGCGGTTTATCCATATGACGGGGTCATCTACACCAGGAAGATCTGCTCCTCCTGCAAGATCCCGAGGTATGGTGCCTATATATATTGTGTAACTGCAAGCGTTTTTTTCCATCCACGCTGAGTACCCACACCGCGGGGTCATCTACACCAGGAAGATCTGCTCCTCGTGCCAGATACCGAGGTAATATAGTGTTGCTGACCCGTTTCAGTGTGAGGTGACCCCGGTACAATCACACATGCTACGATGGGATCCTTACAGCTGAGGGGTATGGTCGTCCTGCAAGGCACCTAGGTGTTTCCAAGTCTAGGGGGTCTAGAACCGAGACATCTCAAAACTAAACTTGCTCGTCCTGCAAAGCACATAGGTGTTTCCAAGTCTAGGGGGTCTAGAACCGAGACATCTCAAAACTTAACTTGCTCGTCCTGCAAAGCACATAGGTGTTTCCAAGTCTAGGGGGTCTAGAACCGAGACATCTCAAAACTAAACTTGCTCGCCCTGCAAAGCACATAGGTGTTTCCAAGTATAGGGGGTCTAGAACCGAGACATCTCAAAACTAAACTTGCTCGTCCTGCAAAGCACATAGGTGTTTCCAAGTCTAGGGGGTCTAGAACCGAGACATCTCAAAACTAAACTTGCTCGTCCTGCAAAGCACCTAGGTGTTTCCAAGTCTAAGGGGTCTTATCTTATCGACAAGATATCTACCTGGTACCGGTTATAGTTGTGGCCCCACTGGAGACATATAATCTCTTTCCTCTTTCTTTATTTCAGCCAGGCCTGCCCGCGCCAAGCACTGCAGGGTGTGCAACCGCTGTATCTCCCTGCCTTGCGTTTCTGCACACTTGATTTACCCTCATCATGCCCTCCCTTCCCCCCTCGCCCTCCTCCCTTCGTCTGGCTCTCCCAGGCCTGCCCGCGCCAAGCACTGCAGGGTGTGCAACCGCTGCATCTCCCGATTCGACCACCACTGTGCATGGGTGGTGAGTGGTGCTGCTGGCTCATAGCTGGTGCTGCTGGCTCATAGCTGGTGCTGCTGGCTCATAGCTGGTGCTGCTGGCTCATAGCTGGTGCTGCTGGCTCATAGCTGGTGCTGCTGGCTCATAGCTGGTGCTGCTGGCTCATAGCTGGTGCTGCTGGCTCATAGCTGGTGCTGCTGGCTCATAGCTGGTGCTGCTGGCTCATAGCTGGTGCTGCTGGCTCATAGCTGGTGCTGCTGGCTCATAGCTGGTGCTGCTGGCTCATAGCTGGTGCTGCTGGCTCATAGCTGGTGCTGCTGGCTCATAGCTGGTGCTGCTGGCTCATAGCTGGTGCTGCTGGCTCATAGCTGGTGCTGCTGGCTCATAGCTGGTGCTGCTGGCTCATAGCTGGTGCTGCTGGCTCATAGCTGGTGCTGCTGGCTCATAGCTGGTGCTGCTGGCTCATAGCTGGTGCTGCTGGCTCATAGCTGGTGCTGCTGGCTCATAGCTGGTGCTGCTGGCTCATAGCTGGTGCTGCTGGCTCATAGCTGGTGCTGCTGGCTCATAGCTGGTGCTGCTGGCTCATAGCTGGTGCTGCTGGCTCATAGCTGGTGCTGCTGGCTCATAGCTGGTGCTGCTGGCTCATAGCTGGTGCTGCTGGCTCATAGCTGGTGCTGCTGGCTCATAGCTGGTGCTGCTGGCTCATAGCTGGTGCTGCTGGCTCATAGCTGGTGCTGCTGGCTCATAGCTGGTGCTGCTGGCTCATAGCTGGTGCTGCTGGCTCATAGCTGGTGCTGCTGGCTCATAGCTGGTGCTGCTGGCTCATAGCTGGTGCTGCTGGCTCATAGCTGGTGCTGCTGGCTCATAGCTGGTGCTGCTGGCTCATAGCTGGTGCTGCTGGCTCATAGCTGGTGCTGCTGGCTCATAGCTGGTGCTGCTGGCTCATAGCTGGTGCTGCTGGCTCATAGCTGGTGCTGCTGGCTCATAGCTGGTGCTGCTGGCTCATAGCTGGTGCTGCTGGCTCATAGCTGGTGCTGCTGGCTCATAGCTGGTGCTGCTGGCTCATAGCTGGTGCTGCTGGCTCATAGCTGGTGCTGCTGGCTCATAGCTGGTGCTGCTGGCTCATAGCTGGTGCTGCTGGCTCATAGCTGGTGCTGCTGGCTCATAGCTGGTGCTGCTGGCTCATAGCTGGTGCTGCTGGCTCATAGCTGGTGCTGCTGGCTCATAGCTGGTGCTGCTGGCTCATAGCTGGTGCTGCTGGCTCATAGCTGGTGCTGCTGGCTCATAGCTGGTGCTGCTGGCTCATAGCTGGTGCTGCTGGCTCATAGCTGGTGCTGCTGGCTCATAGCTGGTGCTGCTGGCTCATAGCTGGTGCTGCTGGCTCATAGCTGGTGCTGCTGGCTCATAGCTGGTGCTGCTGGCTCATAGCTGGTGCTGCTGGCTCATAGCTGGTGCTTGCCAAAGTCAACCTGCTTTTCTTCCTGCTCTTGAGATGTCTCAAAAGCGGCCCTGACCTTTCCCTAACCCCCCCCCCCCCTTTCTTTCTAACCCCTCTCTTTCCTTGACACTTGTGTGCGTTCAGAACAATTGTGTGGGGGAGAACAACTTGCGCTTCTTCCTGCTCTTCCTCTTTGTGTAAGTGTCTTTGGGGGGGACACAGGTGCTGCGGCCTCTGCTGCTGCTGCTGCTGCTGCTGCTGCAGCTGCTGCTGCTGCTGCTGCTGCTGCTGCTGCTGCTGCTGCTGCTGCTGCTGCTGCTGCTGCTGCTGCTGCTGCTGCTGCTGCTGCTGCTGCTGCTGCTGCTGCTGCTGCTGCTGCTGCTGCTGCTGCTGCTGCTGCTGCTGCTGCTGCTGCTGCTGCTGCTGCTGCTGCTGCTGCTGCTGCTGCTGCTGCTGCTGCTGCTGCTGCTGCTGCTGCTGCTGCTGCTGCTGCTGCTGCTGCTGCTGCTGCTGCTGCTGCTGCTGCTGCTGCTGCTGCTGCTGCTTCTCTCACGTTTCCCCCTTCCCCCACACAGGCAGATGCAGGAAATATGGCACGCGCACAAACACACACACACAGTATGCATGGTTTGGTTTTGGAGGGCTCAAGGTGCGCAAGTTTCTCCTTGCGGTATGAAAGTCGTGATTTGAGCGGTCACAAACACGCACACAGTGCATGTCTTGGGAGGGCTCAAGGTGTGTAAGTTTCTCCTTGTTCCTTTCCCTTGCCCCGTTCTCCCCTGCTGCATACTGGACGGTGTCATCTGAAGACAGGTATACTGACAAATAGATTGGCATGCCGTTAGACCCCCCTACCCCTCCGTTTCTCCCAACTCCGCCCCGGTGCCCATGCCACCCTTTTTCTCCCTCTCGGTTCCTTCAGAAACATTTGTTTCCTGGCCTATGGAGTGTTTGGCGTGTGCTCGATTCTGGCGGGGGAAATAATACGCAACCATGTCATCACTGCCATCATAGGTACGCAGTCCCACGCCGTGTTCTTCACACTTAACACGCTGACAGTACAGGGCGTGCTTTTGAGTCGACTCAAAACCATGTCTGTACTGCAAGCCGTCATAGGGAAGCAGGGCCATGCCGTGCCATTCCCTCGTCAGTGTCTGCAGGGCCATTCCCTCCTCACTGCTTCAGTACGGGGTCTATTTTTGAGGCGCCTCAACAAAATTTGAGGAGTCTATTTTTGAGGCGCCTCTGCAGTGTCTGCAGGGCCATTCCCTCAGTGCTTCAGGGCCACCTCCCTCAACGCAAAGGGAGGCCACACATTTTTCATTCCTTACTCTCTGCTCCCCCCCCCCTCCTCCCCCAACTCGCTCTCTCCCCCTCTCCCCCGATGCTCTGTCGTCCTTGTGTCAGCGCATGATCCTTCCAGGGCGCACGTGTCTGGCTGGCTACCTATTCTCGTTCAGGTGAGCCTCTGACCAGTGCACCCTTTGGACCCCTGCATTCATCTTTTGAGGCGCTTCAAAAGTCGACTCTTTGGACCCCTGCATTCCTTGCCATCCTCGTCCTCATCCTCCTCCTTCCATGCTCAGTGTAACACAATGACCCTTCACATACCCCCAGCGGCTGAATGTCTACTACCACCGCCAGTGCGCCATTCTCCGTGTCTTCCTCTTCTTCCTGGTCGTCCTCGTATCTCTCCCTTGCTGTGAAACATCTTTCTCCTGTGCTCCTCCCACCCCCGGTGGCTGACTGCCTACTACCAATGCAAGACTGTTAGTGCGCCCTTCTCCGCATCTTGTCTTCCTCATTGTTCGCTTCTGCTTTCCTGATTCTTCCTCGCCCCACCTCACCTCCCCTGTCCCTTCCCCCTCACCCCCAGTGGCTTTCCGTATACTTCCACTGTCAGTGCACCCTGCTGCTATCCTTCGGGGTTATCCTCGTCCTTCTCTCCTGCTCTCCTGATTCTTCCTCTCCCCACCCCTCCTCCCCCTCCTATCCTTGTCCTTGTTCTCCAGTGGCTGACTGTCCACTTCCATCGTCAGTGCGCCCTGCTCCTCTAATTCTTCGTCATCCTATCGTGCTTCAATTTTTTCTTCTTCTTGCCCTCTCTTCCTCTCCCTCCCTCGTCCCACCCCAGTGGCTGACTGTCTACTTCCATCGCCAGTGCACCCTGCTGCTCTTCTTCCTCGTCATCCTCGTGGTTCTCTCCTGCTTCCTCCTCTACCACCTCTATCTCGTGATTACCAACGTCACCACCAACGAGGTACTTCCCCTTCCCCCCCTTCACCCCTGTACCATATGTTTAACCCCTGAAAGACAAGTTACATCTACTTCCTTCCTCGTCATCCTCCTTGTCCTCTCCCGCTTCCTCCTCTACCATCTTCATTTTCCAATTGACTCAAAATTCATTTCGATTCCCATTGATGCTTATCCATCCTTGCTCCAGACCTACAAGTGGACACAGTACCGACGGTGGGTGGCACACGAAGCTACCAGGATGCTGCAGCAGCAGGAGCAGCAGAGAGAAGGGAAGGAGGTGGATGTGGGTGCAGGGGAGAGTGCCAAAGGGGAGAACAGCGTAGAGAAGAACACTCAGGAAGAGGGTGGGGGGGAGAGAGGAAAGGCGGCGTTAGAGGGAGGAAGGGAGAGCGAGGAGAGGAAAGAGGAGGCGGTTGAGAGGAAAAGTGAGTGTGCTGAAGCAGAGAGAGGCAAAGTTTCTGTGAAGGCAAGGAGTGATGGAGGAGCAGGAACTGCAGCAGCAGCAGGAGGAGCAGGAGGAGCAGCAGGAGGAGCAGCAGCAGGAGGAGCAGGAGGAGCAGCAGGAGGAGCAGCAGGAGGAGCAGCAGGAGGAGCAGGAGGAGGAGCAGCAGCAGGAGGAGCAGGAGGAGCAGCAGCTGGAGGAGGAGCAGGAGCAGGTGGAGCAGCAGGAGCAGCAGGAGCAGCAGGAACAGCAGGAGCAGCAGGAGGAGGAGCAGTGGGAGCAACAGCAGAAGTAACAGCAGCAGCAGGAGCAACAGCAGCAGCAGGAGGAGCAGGAGGAGCAACAGCAGGAACGGGAGAAGCGACAACAGCAGCAGGAGCAACAAGGGGAGTGCGGGCAAAGAGGGAGCATGCGATTGGGGTTGACTTTTCGAGGTTACAGGTGTGCAAATCCGGTGATGGGTGGTTCTCTGCCTTGTGGTCCAAGGTCTTTGGTGGAGCAGACCGCAATCACACCTCAAGAAAATGGGTTGATCCTGCGAGTGTTCCTGTAGAAAATACATACAATAGAGGGGTCATGTATAATATAACTGAGGTGCTAGCACCTGAGAGGATTTATGCCGAGAGGCAGCAGAGGTTAGGCTTGAGAGGTAGCGGCGAAAGAGGGTTAACGGCAAAGGGATACACCACCCCAAGAAGCAAGAAGAAACAGGCCTGATGTTTTGTTCATATGCTAGTTTTTTGCAATCAATGCTATTTTATTGAGTTCATGTCGACCTCCATCATATACTCAAGGTGCATGTTAGGCAACTCTGTTTGGTGTACCATGTGTTGCAGTTCCTCCTTACTGTTACGAGGGGCTCCTCAAGGCGAGGATGCGAAAGCCTTCAAACCCAGCGTGGGCACCAAGTGCCCTCTGTGACAGGCGACTTCGCGTTCTAATTTCTTTTGTGCTGATAGCCTGTAGTCTTGTCTGACGTCGTTCAAGCATCTGCGTCTTTTCTAGGAAACGCCCGCGAATTTTCCTCCCCGCGCAATCACGATCTAGCGAATCGAATCTCTCAATCGTTGACTCGTTGACTCGTTGACTCGTTGATTCGTTTCTGGGAGATCCTACGCTGATCCGATCTTCCTGCGAAACTCCTCGCGATGTCCTCGACGGGTGGATCCCAGGAAGGTGGGACTGACGAAATCGGAACACAGCAGGGGGAGGCGAGCGGGCGCGCAGGGTTGGCGGAGGGGAGCGCGCCGACGGGGCAGGCGGAAGCGCGTGGGGAGGGGAATCCGCCGTCGGGGCAGCAGGGGGAAGGGGAGGGGAGTGAGAAGGCGGAACCGGCGCAGCTGCAGGGGGAGGCGGGCGGAAGGAAGAAACCAGTGGTTGTGATTGTAGTGGGCATGGCTGGTACTGATTGTAACGATAGTTCCTTGTAGCGAAAGTAGGCACCTCCTCATGGGCATGGGCATGGGCATGGCATGGCATGGCATGGGCATGGGCATGGGTATGGCATGGGTATGGCATGGGTACGGCATGGGTATGGCATGGGCATGGCATGGGCATGGCATGGGCATGGCATGGGCATGGCATGGCATGGCATGGCATGGCATGGCATGGCATGGCATGGGCATGGCATGGGTATGGCATGGGCATGGCATGGGCATGGGCATGGCATGGGTATGGCTTACGGTACCTCATCAACCTAGACCCGGCAGTGACCTCCGTGCCTTACCTTGCCTCTTCTCTGTTCTTTCCCCTTCTCCGGAACACCAGGCAGTGGCAAAACAACACTCATGCCGTGCCTGTATGCGCACGTGCACAGCAGCAGACGCCCTCGACCTGATCAACCTAGACCCTGTCTGTTGCCCCTTTCTGCGAATTCTTATGACAGGCAGCGGCAAAACAACACTCATGCAGCGCCTGTATGCCCACATGCACGGCAGCAACATCGCCCACTACCTCATCAACCTCGACCCGGCAGTGCCCTCCGTGCCTTACCTTGCCAACATCGACATCCGAGACACGGTCAACTACAAGAACGTGATGAAGGAGTATGGGCTGGGACCCAACGGCGCTATTCTCACTTCCTTGAACCTCTTTACAACCAAGATTGATGAGGTGAGCTGTTTTTCTAGGCACCTGAAAGTTTATCTGGCAGTGCCCTACCACCGTGCATTACCTTGCAAATATCGACATCCGAGATATTGTCCTCACTCCGTGCCGTTCTGAAGGATACTCAATATTGTCATGTCAGGTCACTTCGGCAGTACAACGTGTGGGCCCTGGGTTGACACATGACTGTGTGGAATGCTGAGATGTGACATGCTTCTGTTTCCATAATTGTCACATTCAGGTAATCACACTGGTGGAGCGCCGAGCAGACACGCTAGACTACGTTTTCATCGACACGCCCGGGCAGATTGAAATTTTCACCTGGTCAGCTTCAGGAGCAATCATCACAGAAGCCTTCGCGTCCACATTCCCAACTGCCGTGTGCTTTGTGGTGGACACCCCCCGGGCGGCAAATCCCGGCACTTTCATAAGCAGCATGCTGTATGCGTGCGGGATACTGTACAAGACGCGGTTACCGCTCCTGCTGGCGTTTAACAAGACTGACGTGGCTCGGCACGACTTTGCTGTCGAGGTACTTGGGGGTTTGGGGTTCGGGGTTCGGGGTTTGGGCTGGGTTACTGTCTGCTGATTTGTTGAGGTACTTGGGTGAAGGCTTAGGGGTCTAGGGTTTGGGACTACCGCTCCTGCTGGCTGATTCAGCAAGACTGACGTGGCACAGCATGCCTTTGCTGTGGAGGTACTCTGGGGTTTGGCGTTAGGGTTTTGGGCTAGGCTACTGTTACTGGTTTGGGGTACTGGGTTGGAGAGGGTTCGGGATTTATGTTTTCTTCTCCTGCTGGCGCATAGCAAGGCTGACGTGGCATGGCA